CAGGAATTAACAAATGTGTATTACCTTTGGAGAAGATATCTGACACAGTTTCCCACCTTGATATTTATTTTATAAAGGAAAATAATAATTAAAAACAAATGTGGAAATAGAAACCAAAACCCCCGCCAAATCAAGAATTACAAAATTACAGGCTGTAACTTTCATAACCCCAAAATTGAAAAAATAAATGCACTATTTTTAAGACATTGTTGAGGGCTCTGAGACCCAAAATTGGGAACATTTTGGGTGAGGACTACAGGCCATATCTTGTTGCTATTTAAGAAAAAATAATGCTGGGCTAAAAATTACACCTTGTGTGATTGTAATGAGTTAGTTAGAAAGTCTCTTAGATCAGAGGTTGCTAGCACCTTGCAAGGACTTTTGGAAGAGACCGCACAGGTAATCAGCCTTCAGAATGGTCGCCTTTTGTCACAGCTGCTGTTTCACCTTGGCACTCATGTTCCTCTTTGGTTTATCCCATCAGTTGCATCAGATTGACTGGCAGGTTAGATTGTAGTATTCTCTTTCAGCATGCTTCTCATGCTTGGATGTATATTGGGCTCACCTGGAAAACTTTAAAAGCTTCTGAAGTCTGGATGCCATCCCCATGGATTTTGGTTTAATTGGTCCTGGGCACTGGTACTTGTATAAGTTCCCCAGGTGATTCTAATGTGCAGCCAAAGAGCCGCTGAATTCCAGGTTGTTAAACTCATGGCCCTGCTGGATCCTTGGATTCTTTGACTTTAAGAACCTATTGATCTCTGGTCTCATTTGCTCTTTCCTATACACATGCTGAAAAGGCAGGCTTGGGAGGAGTAATTGAATTATTTCCCTGACCAACTTCCAGAAGACATTGGAAGAAGTCCAGCAAATACAAGTATTGGCAAAATATATCAAACTTCGGAAAAGTGACACCTCCTTGTGCCAGAGAAAATCAGAAAGCATAGGAGAGTCCTGGGTGAGGACTCCAATTCTGCTTCAATAAACTTTGTAAAGTTACTTACTCTTTCTGAGCCTCAGTTTCCTTATCTATAAAAATTGGAATACCTAACTTCTAAGGTTTACTTAAATGAGTATTCAAAGTGTCTAAAATAGTGCCTGGCACGCAGTAGAAGTGCAATAGTGATAGCTATTTAAAAGGAAAGAATAGAGAAAATAATTAAAGCTTATTGACTGATTATGCTCCAACATAATAATTACAAATTATTGAGCCAATTTATCCAATTTTTTATCCTCAGAACAAATATTTGTTACATACTGACTTCATTCCAATTACACTGCTAGCTACTAGGGTTACAGATATGAATAAAACAGACATGGTGCATCTTACAACTTAGCTAAATGCTTTACTTATTTCTGGAGTTGATTTCAAGCAGTCCAAAGATTGACCTTACTAGAGGGGTGATACAACTACAAACTGACCTTCAATGCACCCTCACAACAAATACTCAGGGTGTGCTAGGCTGTTAAGGGAAATTTGTACCAAGTAGACAGACAAGTACTTATCAGGGTTCTATAACTGTCCCAAAGGGCCAGGGAGGTATAAAAAAACATGTGAGAATATCAAAGGGATCATATCAAAACACCTGATGATTTTTTCCCACCCTGTTTGGGCAGTTTTAGGAGTAGTGCTGTATCTTCCGGGTTCTTGAAGGCCAGAGCAGCTGTGTTCCCTCCACCCCCAACTCATCCAGTTTGGTGTGCTGCTGTGCCTCCCATCTGGGTAGCTGTCTATGTATTATAAGTTGTGTGACTTACCTACATTATGGGAACTTGCACCCTTTGCTTGGGTCTGTTGGCATTTTTCACTCAATCACTCTTGTGACAATACTGCCTCTCCCAGTAACAATCCTAAGAGCTAGTATTCCTATCTGTATATTACATATAAGATGTAGGTAACTTGCCCAAAGTCACTGAGCTCTTAAGTGGTAAATCCAAGACTGAACCTCAGATCTGACTCCACAACTCATCCTCTTAACCTCTGCCTCAAGTGGACAAAGCTTGGGTGACTATGCTTTGGAAATACCAAAATCTGTCTCTTCAGATAATTAATTTTAAAACCACAAGTAAAGAAGAAGAGCAGATGGAATTGAAGATGATGTTGTGACTGAACCTAATCTAATCTTGGCCTATGAGCCCCTTATGAAATTATGTGAGAGACTGGAGTCCAATAAAGAATTGTGTCCAGTTTGCCTTGTTATCAATCAAGCCTGCTGATACATAACATCTCTTCATAGCTGCAGCTGCAACTCTTTTGTCAGACCAGGAATATAGTAACTATGGCTAAAAAGGCAACGGTAGCAATTTGTAGATGGTATAGGATCTTTGCTAAATCCAGATAATCTTTCCTCACCTTCAGGATAAAAATGTTGACTCTGATGACAGAATGTGTGAATGTGTATATGTGCATGTGTGTGTATAAGTGCGCATGTGTAATGACTCATGTACAAATGCTCTGGAGCACATGTGGAAGGACAGAGATTTTAAGCCAGTCTTTTCTGATTTTCCAGGAGTTGCAGTATGCACTTTGTAGGGTATCCATGGAGCTCACAGTGCCTGCCTTTATTGTCCTCCATCCAGATCAGGCCATTGGCAACCAGGTTTACATACATGAAATATGACCCCACCTTCACTCCAACCACATTTGTTTAGACAAGAGGTGGCCATATAATCCAAAGGGGCCAATCATATTTTCTCGCATGGCAGACTGTACTTATTCCTACTTCGTTATGCTTTTTGTATTTATGCCCTTTGCCATATGACTCTGTAGGACCTCCCACTAGAGGCTGAGTATATTTTCGCTCCCTATCGATGTTGGACTCAGCTATGCGACTTGCTCAAGGAATGTCGTAGGATGCAGGAGACTGTGTATTGGGGATTGGGGCGTGTAAATGGCACAGTTTGCTATGGAAGAAAGCTGAACTCTTTTTTCCTCTTTTTCTGACTTGCCCCTTTGCTTAAACTTTTTTTGGTGGCTTTTGTTTTTCCTTGAGGTAAAGTTCACATCATATAAAATCAATCATTTTAAAGTGAAAAATTCAGTGGCATTTAGTATATTCACAATGTTTTGTAACCATCACCTTTATCTAATTCCAAAATATTTTCATCCCCCCAAAATAAAATCTCATATCCATTAAGCAGTTACTCCCAATTTCCTCCTCCCCGACCCAGACCCTGGGGCTACCAATCTACTTTTTGTTTTTATGGATTTACCTTTTACTATTGACGGTATTGTCATATGTTGGGGCCCTAACCCCTTATGTGACTGTATTGGAAATAGGGCCTTTAAGGTTGTGATTAAGGTTAAATGAGGTCAGAAGAATGAAGCCCTTGATCTGACAGAATTCGTGCCCTTATCAAAAGATAAAAAAAAGACTCCAGAGCTCTCTCTGCCATGTGAGGGTACAGTGAGAAGGTGGCCATCTGTAAATCAGGAAAATGGTCATTTGAAAGTCCCACTAGAACCCAACCATGCTGGCACCTTGATGTCAGATTCCAGCCTCCATGGTGAGAAACTTCTGTTGTTTAAACCATCCAATCTATGGTATTTTGTTATAGCTACCCAAACTGACTAATACACCTATTCTGGATATTCATATAAATAGAATCATACAATATGTGATTTTTGTCCCTGGCTTCCTTCATTTAGCATGTTTTCAGGGTTCATCCATGCTGTAGCATGCATCAGTACGTCATTCCTGTTACAGCTGAATAATATTCTATTGTACGGATACCACATTTTTTATCTATTCATCTGCTGATGGATTTTTTTTTCCCACCTTTTGACTATTGTGAATAGTGCTGCTATAAACATTTGAGTACAGGTATTTGTTGAGTATCTATTTTCAATTCTTTTGGAAATATACCTAGGGGTGGAATTGCTGGGTCATAAGGTAATTCTCAGAACACTGAACTTTTGGTGCTCAGACCCTCAGAGTTGCTTCTTGATTCCCACACAAGAAATTCTTCCTTAAATTCCATAAGAAACTCCCAGAATACTTTCAATAAATTCCTTTTGTTGCTGTAGCTAGACAGTTCTTGCTGTAGTTAGACAATTCTTGCTTAAGCAAGAGTTAACCCGAAGCTTAGAGAACCTAGACTAACAGACAACAAAATTTCTAATTTTTGGTCAAAATATTAGAAGAAAAACAGGTTCAAAACTCCCCTTTCAAAGTTTGCCACAGGGGTGGTAAGCTCCCTGTTGACACTAAGCAAATCAGGTGATTATCTTGATGAAATTCTGGTATCTGACTTGACTGTGTAACTGTTGCTTAGACTACCACTTACCTTTGGGACCAGGCAGCATAGGACCTTGCATTTAGAGCATATTCCAATTCAAAACGACTCCGTAAAGCTGCCACGTGGCTCCGGCCAGGCCCTCCGCGGCTCAGCAGACAATCAGAAGAAGAGGAAGGTGAGAGAGACCCACTGCTGTTACTTGATGCAGGAGACATCAGCTGAGTGAAGGAGGGGCAATTTCAATCAATTAATAAATCCAACAGGCTTAACAGCATAGTATAGAATGTAGATTTATTTTAACTTTCCATTCGAGGATTTCTCATATTTTAATTTCTATTCATCTCAGCTTGCTTTTCCTTTCAGCCTCTGCTGGCAACACCTGGCTAGCTTTTTTTGACCCAGTTCTGTGATGAGAGCTGGCCCATAAAACTTATGCTTGTCTTTAACAAAACACAGTAGGCTCAAATCAGATTCATAAAATAGAATGTTATTATTTAATGGTTAAAAGATTCTCTACATTTTTCACTATGGTGATGAGGTTCATGGCAGAGTTCCTTTAAATTGGAGCTTACAATTATTCCCTTTACATAAAATTATTCCCTTTACATAAAATGGATTTACACACTTTCCCAAAAATACATCCATTTTATAAAGTGAAGGCTGCTTTAATGTCCAGCAAGCATGAGGACTAAATAGAGTTGTTGTAAGAGAATTTTTAAAAATATTTACAAATAGTTAAGTATAGTTAGAAAATAGAAGAGTGTGAGGGAAGAAAATGAGAAAGAGAAGAGGAAAAATAAGAAAGTAGTTTTCTTGAACTTTTGACACCCTTGTTACTTATGCACTCTACCTAACATGACTGAGAATATTAGTGCTTTGACATTATAATTTCATAAGACATGTAGAGAGCAGACTTTGGTTTTAAAAAAAATAATATATATAAATTCTAAAGTCTTCACAGTAGCCAAGACATTTCTAAGTAAAGCTCCGAGAATCATGTGATGTCAGTATTGAAATGAACCTTCAAACTCTTCAATGATTTAATCTCTTCTGTGCATCCTTTTCAAGTTAGCTATGCAATCTGATGGGGAACCTCCAGTGATGGGGGACTCACTGTCTCCAGATCCATTCATTTATGTTAGGACAGCTCTGACCATTGGAAAGTTCTTCCTCACAATTAACCAGTTCTATTATTGTACTTCATTTCCATCTGTTGGCCCACAGAGAACTAGGCCATTCCCTTTCCTATATGACAGTTCTTCAGATGTTTAAAAACAGCTGTTGACTTATCCTAGATTTGCCTTCTCTGGGATAAGCATCCCTGGTTCCTCTAACTGGCTCTCACATACAGGATTTTCAATCCATTCACCCCTCTGATCTCCCTATTCCCTAAAATTTGTGTTCCAGTTTTAATTATCCCTTTAAAAGGAGATAACTGGGAACTATTTTGTTTGGCAATCTCAGGAGAAAGAGGAATGATCACATTCTTTATTCAGATGCAAGACAGAGACTTCATATTCTAACTCCCAAAAAGCTTATTATCCACTAACCTTCATGATGCTCCTAAACTGTATCTCCAACACTTGATTCTTTTACTATTGTTTCTTTGACTCTAGTGTATGATGATATATTTATTCCTATTAAATTATTTCTTAGACATGTCCTACTACTTTTCCTGCTTTCAAATATTTGTTGTCTCTCTCAACTTTACTATATCTACAAATGTGATGAGCAGAGCCTTCCTGACCTTGATCTAAACCACTGGCTAAAAAGTTGAAGAGTAGAGAGGATAGAGCCTTATGGAACTACACAAGTTAAGATCCTTAAAGATGATTCTAGTTCATTAATTAGTGCAATGCAGTTCAGCAAATTCTCTTTGCATAGAGCCCATAGTTTTTCGTCTTTTCCACTAGGGGAGATTGTGCTAAGAGGCTTGGTCAATATAACAAGACTAGCTAGCTTAGCAGATCCTACCATTGTCCCTGTTTCTGGAATTCACTCTCTGATCTAACTGGATATATCCCAGGCTTGGCACAGCCTTGCTCTGTCAAACACAAAGGTTCAGAGTGAGAGGATACTTGGAACTCAAGCCTGAAAAGCATCTCTCAACATCCCAAGCCTCTGGCAGATGCTCTTGTTAGTAGGGGCTGCTGTAGTCCCACAAAATATACTTCTACTTCTCTCCACCTCATTTGTTTCAGGACTGAAGAGAAAGGAAAGGAAGTTTCATGTTTAAAGAGTAAAGCTTCCTCTTTGTAAGTTCCAGTAAAGATTCATGAGACAGAGCCACTCACTTCAGGCAGTAATTGCAGACCTGGAACACTTTTCCAAAAGATTAGGTTCCAGGGAATTCCCTGGTGGTGCAGTGGTTAAGACTCCGTGCTCCCAATGCAGGGGGCCCAGGTTCGATCCCTGGTCAGGGAACTAGATCCCACATTCATGCCGCAACCAAGAGTTCCCATGCCACAACTAAAAAGCCCACGAGCTGCAACTAAGGATCCCACCTGCCAGAAATAAGATCCAGCACAACCAAATAAATAAATATTAAAAAAAAAAAAAAAAGATTAGGTTCCAGTCACTCTTTGTTAAGATTTTAAGGAAAGAAAACTTTCCTTGGATGGTTCCACTTTGGGATTTAGTTGTGCAATCTCAGGTTGATGCTGTTTTTCGCCATTTTTGCCCCTCCATACACTCGTTTATACGTGAGTCTGTATGTGTGATGTCCATCCCTCTCTCCTGTAGCACTCACTTGCATTTAGGAATATATTATTATTTTTGAATTAGTGCTCATGTTTTAGTTCCCTTGCCTATTTTCAAATGCTGTCTCCTGAACAGGTGTATAGAAAATTAAGGTAATTATAGAGAAAATTAAAGCAAACAGCTCCTTGATATTAAGGAAAGAAAATTCCATTAGTCTCATTACCAACACATATCACTTTATGTAAAATATGTGTGGCATAAAAGCAATGCCTCCCAATTAATTTATGGGCTAATTTTAGTAATAATTTTTCCTGTTATTGAACATAAATGGACAATGGCTTAATGTTTTAGCTTACATTTCGTTGTTTGTAAGAAATTTTGTATAGAAAGTAATGATTTACGTAATTACCTTCTAACACATTTGTTATTTTAAAATTTTTACATACCAATTTTTTAAGCTATGCATACCCATGTCCATTTGCTTGCCTGATTATTTGTTGGAAGGGCCCCAATTCACTCTGAATTTGCCTTTGCCCTACAGATGCAGTCAATTCTCCTCCACAGGGTGAAAATATGAATAGAGTTATGGACACTCACACTTTCTTTCCACAAGCACCACCTTATAACTACATTCCCCAACATCGTTGGATAGTCAAGCCTTTGTAATGGACATATTTCAGAAGCCAAAGTTCTTACCTCAGTGTTGCAGAGACACTCTTCTAACTTGGTAACAACTTCAGAAAATTCAGGTCTTCCCTGTAAATAAAGAAAAGACTTCTTTTCCCCAAAGAATAAAAGGGATGCAGCTGTCTTTGGATTTTAAAATTGGATATTTGCATGTGCAAAGAATGAGATTAACGATAAAGTAGGTTTTTATTTAAAATACACTTGTATTGAAGTGTTAATTGAATGTTCACTTGCTGTTCGTGGAGGGATGTTGAGTCTCCCTCTGATAAGAGTTTTAAGTCAGAATTTGCAACTACATTCAGATAATGAAATAGTGGAAAAGCTTTAATTAGCTTTGTGCGCTTTTACGCGGCAGGTTTGCCTCTTCAAAATCAAAGAATAAAAGTGAATACTAAAAACTATTAACTATCTCAGTGCCCTATAATACACTGTTCAATGT